AGTCAGGCCTGATAAACTGTGTCTCCGCCTTACCAGGCACACAGCCGCAATTCGGGTCCCGGTGCGAACGCTCTGTTCACCTTCTGTGGAGAAGGGGGCAGGCAGGGCAAGGCAAGGCGACATGTGAGGTCCACGCCTTTTCTTCAGTGCTCGCTCCACCTACATAGTAGGGGGGTGTGCGTGTGGTGGTGGTTAATGTTTCTTGTTTATGAGGTTCCTCGATGAACCATGTGGTTTTTGGTCGCGCGCCCACGTTGCGTTTTGGCGGCGGGAATGAGGGGGATCGACATCGAACACACGCTTTGCCGGCCGGCGACGCCGCGAGCCTTGACGTTGCGACCTGTTTGTCACTGAGTTTGGGAAACCAAACCCCCCCTGCGTTGGTTGCATGTTGTTGTTACTCTCTCCATCTCTCTCTTTCAGGAGTTGCAGGGGTATGTACAGAGTACTTATGCGGCTTTTCTCTCTATTCGGACTTCTGCCAAGTCCCACCGAAGAATACAACGAAGGATTCTCGAACGATTCCTCTGCATCCGTTCATCTAAGTAACTTTTTGGAAATTCCCCTTTTCTCCTCGTGTAACTATGCAACTATGGCCATGGTTCATGAGTTGTCGACAGAGCCGGGGTCTGTCAAGCTTGGTTAGTTAGGTAAGTAAGTGTGGTGGACCTTTAGAGCGGGTTTCCCACGTTGGCGCGCTGGCGCTGGCGCATGGCAGGAAAGAAAAAAAAATTCTTCGCAATATCCACCACGCGGACGACTTACACCAACCCCACGACATTAGTTTCCAAGCTTTCTGAGCGGTATTTTCTGCCAAAAAGTTTGACCAGCCTGGGGGTCGAACCCAGAATCTCCTGATTGCACGATTTTTTTGGATATGAATCGTAGTCAGACGCCTTGCCATTGGGCCAACCGGCCGCTTGTCCTGAGGACTCGAGCTTGCTTGCTTGAGGGTCGGGGCGGGGAGGAGGCATTATCAATGTGGGCTTGGGTCCTTGGGGCAGGGGTTTCGATGGGTTTGGTGTGCTGCCAAGTATTGACGGCTCTCGTTTGAGAGACGAGTAGCGCGTGTGAGAACTTTCAGTTGGTTGCTTGACGGTGTTGGCTGGTTCCTTGTTGATACGTGTGGAAGCATCATGACATTCCTCATGGTGTTCAACTTACGCCCTACACTAGAGTCTCTCATCTAACTTATGATTCGCATTCACTATTCGTTGACAGACACACGGTCTGGTATGTGAAATGAAGGAAGCTGAAAATCTCTTGTCGAATCAAGCGTCCTCGCTGTTGCAAGAAAATTAACATCGGTGTTTGCAGCATAGAACGGGTGCTCCTGTAGCGAAAAGATCGAAGTATCAAGATAGCCTAATACGTAGAGTAGCGTTCAGCTTTGGATCAGAGGTTATACTTCCTTGTAATACGAATTGAAATCTTTTATATCGGGTTGAAGGATATCTCTGTTTGGGTTCAGTGTTTATATCCGCCTTCGTATTTGCTATAACTGTTATCATACATGTAAGAGAAGATTCGGAAATCTTGAAAAGCTTTTCTCGTCTCCAGCTGCTGGATATGATTTGCAGGTGCACTTAATGTCCTTGTTTCCTGCTAAACGAGGCTTCATCTGCCTGGAAGATCAGACTGGTTTGTCACCGGTATCATTGCATGGTCAGAGTCTGACTACAAGAGGTCTGTTGGTATCAACCTGTGTATGCTGCATCAAGCGATCCAATGGGAATTGGGGGAGTACTATCTTACAATATTGAGGTGTTACACGCGTCGTAATTATATTCAATGAAATCGAGATGCCAGCATGGCAGGCTGTATTCTGGTCAGCATATCAGTATATCAAGCTGTATCGGCCTCACCACTTGAGGCAAGAAAAAGTCACTAAACTGAATAAATCTCAGTCCAAAAGACGCCGTTGTACTTCATACATACTAGCATGGAAGTGACACAATTCACCAGCGTGCCTAACGTGTCACTGCTGACTTCGTCGTCGAAGACTTGCTATGCATGATTGTTATCTGTAGACTGCAGGCTGAGGAAGAGGCTCTCGGCAGCAGCAAAATGCTCCAATGGAGTTTGCAATGTCCAAAACCGCAAGCGGCGCCATCTGAAACGATTTCGTTCTGAACGAGGATGTCGATTTGGTCAGACAATCTTCATGCTTGCCTCGCTTTTGGAGGGAATGTTTATGGCTTTGGGGATGTGTATCTCAACTTAATAGGATACATGATTCACAGCCAAAATACGGCCTTGGGGTTCCCCTAAACATGGGTCAGCTCATTCATTACATCATCATTGAAGCCCTCCAATATGACAGTCCTGTGGTTTGATCCTCTACTCGCCCCGCGTAGTGATCGGATGTTGATATGCCTACGAAGAAAGGTTTTCGTGGGACTAGCTTGCGCGATTGGGGAGCTGATTAAAAGGGGCACAGGAAAAAAACCAAAAACATAAAACCAAAAATGAGAGAGCCTGATCTAAGGGGTCTGGATATACGGTTCTCATCAATTAGAATAGTCCACTTCACTGGGCTGGGAAAGAAGAGACTGCCTGATTGTCTTGTGTCTACGTTGCCATATTTTCTGTGTATTTAACAACGACAACGACGACGACGACGACGACAGTCAAGCAGAGTGAGATGTACAGCCACGGGAAAAGTCGTCGCTCTAGCACAGGACGAATGGGCCGTCTTGGAAAGAATCCAGCAACAAAGTGAACGGTCTCCGCGAGAGAATTGATTGCTCATAATGGTGATGAGTTTAGTTCCAATACACTTGTACGTACTTGCCCCTGACTTTGCTGGGATGTTTGGCATCCGACGACACACGAGTACGACGCCATTCCTCGATTCATCAGGCGGCCAATGTACTTGATGTATGGACAGCATCAAGTCTCGCAGACTGATACCACATCCTGAACAAGCTATTTGCGATAGCAATTCAAAATATCCACGATACGTATCGCCCGCTTGCATATTAGCCTCACCAGTATGATAGATCTTGTTCAAGAGAAAAGAAAATTGTATTTGTCTCTATGCGGTATATGTGTATCTAAAAATCAAACCCAAACTCCAGTGCTATGCCGTGATGCCCACATATCTGATCATATTATCATATGTATCCCTTTAGGCGGATCCGTTGGCCTTGACGTACTCCTCAGAGAACTCCCAAGTGTTGTAGCCCTCGTTGCTCTTCTTGAGGTAGAAGGTGGAGCGGTCGTAGGGGGTGAAGGGGATGTTGTTCTTGACGCGGAAGACGAGGTCGGGGTTGGAGATGAAGTAGCGGCCAAAGGCGACGGCGACATCCCACTTCTTGTAGCGCTCGTCGACGGCCCAGCGGGCGCTGTCGCCAAGGTAGCCGCCGGCGACGACGACGGGGGAGATGTTGTCCCACTCCTCGAGGATGAAGTCGAGGGTCTGGGGGCGGTCCTCGGCGAAGGGCTGGACGTCGTCGGTGGGCTGGCGGGGCACGATGCCGAGGTTGACGGGGTTGCCGACGGCCTCGACGAGGGAGATGTAGGCGAGCTTGTAGCCGGCCTTCTTGAGCTCGCGGATGATGTAGATGGTCTGCTCCCAGGTGTCCGGGTCGGTGCTGTAGGACTCCTGGAAGGTGGCGAAGGGGCTCAGGCGCAGGGCGACGCGCTCGGCGCCGATCTCCTCGACGCAGGCCTTGACGATCTCGAGGAGGAAGCGGGCGCGGTTCTCGACGGAGCCACCCCACTTGTCGGTGCGCTTGTTGGCCGAGTCGCGGGTGAACTGGTCGACGAGGTAGCCGTGGGCGCCGTGAATCTCGACGCCGTCGCCGCCGGCAGCGACGACCTTCTTGGCGGCGTCGCGCCAGGCGTTGATCTTGACCCAGATCTCGTCCTCGGTGAGGGGCTCGGGGGGCACGGGGCGGCCGGTCATCTGGACGTCGGAGGAGGAGCAGTACTTGTAGCCGCGGCCCTTGACGAAGTCGGGGTCGGCGGCGCGGCCGAGGGACCAGAGCTGCTGGAAGATGTAGCTGCCCTTGGCGTGGACGGCGTCAAAGACCTGCTTCCAGGCGGCGCACTCGGCCTCGGTGGAGAAGCCGGGGAGGTTGAGGTCGCCAATGTCGGCGGGGGAGACGGCGGTGGCCTCGCTGATGAGGAGGGTGCCCGGGGTGGAGGCGCGGTCGGCGTAGTACTTGGCGACCATGGGGAGGATCGGGGCGCCGTCATCGTCGGCACGGTAGCGGGTGAGGGGGGCCATGACGACGCGGTGGGCGAGGTCCATCTTGCCCATCTTGAGGGGCTGGAAGAGCTTGGTGTTCTCGGCGGCCATTGTAGCGGTGTTATTGGTGGATGAACTGGAAGTGAAGAAACAAAAGGGGTATCAAGAGAGAAGAGTTGTCAAGTAGTTGAGCTTGTGAGAAGTATGATGTAGGAGACTGTGTTGAAGTTGTGTCTGGCTCTTTAAACCCCCTTTTCACTTGAAGCGGGAGGGTTGAGGGTATTTATGCGACTGAACAACATCGTGTAAGTCAACAAACAGCCCACCCAAGGATTGTCGCCGTAGAAGCATCTGGAGAGTCCCACCATCGTCAAGAGATCCTCGGCAACAGGCCCCCACCACAGATCTGTCCGCATGAGTTTGTTGATCCATTGGGCGAAGAAGTTTTCTCTTGCCATGGAGGGGCAGCTTAGAAATTGGGAAGTTTGGGGGCCCGTGATGGAACACCACACGGCGACAACTCGGGAAGCGGGTCCGGCCAGACTTTCTCTGAACTTCTCGGGGGAAGAGGCCCCATTCTTTCTTCTCCCCCCTTCCGCCCCTCCATCCTCCGAGCGGTGAAACCGAAAGAAGACCTGTGGTCCGCGACGCTCAGCTCAGTGAGGCCGTCCGTATCATCGGTTCGGTTCTGTCATGAGGCGTAAACCGCGGGTTCCTGGCAAAAGGCAACGTTCTCGAACGAACCCAAGTCACTCGACTACGCAAAAGATTGCGGCCCCCGCAAAGGGGGACACGTTCTTGGCAACATGCTGGAGAAGACTGAGGAAGAAAACTTCGAAGCAGCGAATCATCGAGGCGGATGGGGACCTCGAGCCACGTTGGCAGCAGCTTGCTTAGAAATCCGATAGTACGATGTCAAAGAGACTGCGAGGCAACGGGACGGGGCCGAGGTGGAGAATTGGTGTTCTGGAGGGACGGGAGTGACGTCTCCAGTATCAAGGGACCAGGGTCTTGGTGCTGAAAACCGAGCAACAGATGAGCCGTTTTCTGTTACGCCCTACATACTGCTAGAGGCTGAAAGTGCGATAACAACTTTAAACTCGGGGAAAAGTTCTGACGTGCTGAGAAATGCCACGAGGGGAGCATGCAACGGCCCGGTCGAGTGTCTCCACTTTCACAGGAAGAAACACGCAGGTTGCATGCCGACTTCGGGATTTGGCCGGGAACAAGCCCAACCCTTTGAAACTCGTCGAGGCTAGAGCTGGAAATATGAGGCTTGTCGTGGGCTTTCTGCCATCTGGTTCGTTTTCATCAGTCCTGGTGGGGATGGTTCAGGGTTCTGCCACCGATCAGAGATTTATGCCAACTCTGCTCAAGTAATCAGACGGCGCCGTTGCCGGGGTCGAGGCTTGGTTCCTGTACGTAAAAATTGTAAGTTTGAATGGGCAGACAAAAAGTGTTGGTTGATTCGTAAGAAGACGCAAGGCCAGGTTGGGTCTGTAGACTAATCGAAATCTTCACCGCCGCACCCTGATTCTCGGCATTCAGATACCGATGTGGCGTCGGCAATCTCCTGGACTTGGTGCGTCAGCCACGTGCGCCACGATGCACGTACCTCACCAACATGACCCGCTTCCTTGCAGACGCGGAAATGCACTCCGCACTTGGCCAGGGGTACATTCCGCTGCGGGTAGGAAATGAGCTTGGCATTTCTTGCTGCGAC